AGTAAGTAAATAGTTTCTGAAGAAAAAAATCGTTTATAAAAAATGTGTTTGTTGTAAAAAAATACAAAAATGATAATGTTAATTTTTTCTACGTTTTTAGTGCAAACTTATATAATTGTAATATTTCAATATGACATTTTTRTGATTACATTATTATAAGTGTATATTTAAAGTTTTTTTTTTTACATCTATGTTATTCCCGAACGACCGAACTCATATTATCTAGTTAAATAATATAATCAAGCCATAATATTATATAAACATGAACCAAGACATATTTTGTTTCACCTGCGATACCACATTGAGTGCCATTACTTCGGGTAGGTATACTTATGTGAAATTGTGAACTTGTACTTACTTCTGATACACGCCACATATGGTAGTCCGCCATCTGCCGGACGCCGAGTTGGCCGCGACCATTCGGACAGCTTTCCGGAACCGATCGATCGGCCGCAATCGATGGTCGAGTGAAACATCATCATCGATGCTGCTGTTGTTACTGCTACAAACGCTGCCACCAGGAAACACCGGTGCCACGTAAAAGTCTGACATCAACCGTCGTTCCCAGATTTTTGATTTTTTGTCCACTGCATGCGAGAGAAAACGAATCACAGTATTTATATATTACGTACATTATATCTATAACCGTAGGTCAAGTTAGGTAGGTYACTAGGTTAATATATAATATCTATAATAGCACTAAACAACATCAGTACATGATATTATAACGCCACGATCACAGTTTTCAGACGAAGGGGGAACGGTATCTGTAGTTATATTTTGGTTCATCGTTTCGTGATATCAAATCATTTAAAAAACGTGCTTCTAGTATTTTAAGAGTTACAAACACAAACTCAAACATTTTTTATTTGAGTTAAAAATTGTATTAGCGTAGTACCTAGTACCTACTATATACCCGGCTATGTAACATTATGCATATATTTTATTACTTGGATATATTGCTTAAACTTTGATTTCAGATTTTGAAMATTCTACTTCTACAGTAAGTATAATACTACCTATGTAATATTATAGCCAATTCGAATAATTTCAYCATTTGTGTAGGTTACCTGTTAGAAAAAAAGCAGACAAGTAAAAACTCCAAATGTCGCACTAACAGTCGATATCAGCTATATCCTTTATATTTATAATACGCATTATATAAGATAAATCATCGATGATTATTTTCACATGTTACTAATCTTTTTTGATTTTACCTTAAATATAGTAGCTATGACGGCGGTTAATTAAAATTAATTAATCGATCTCTTGTAACCACTGGAATCGCGCGTCTCCTGTTCCCTYGTGTTTTCGATTCCTTATCTTAGTTTTATATAAAATGTTAGGTATTAAGTAATAACGTTCAAATTTATTTTTTATTTTTTATAATAATGTTGTTCAAAAATGTATATCATCGCGTTTTCATTTAGAAATCTTTTTTGTTTAGTAAAAAATTAATATCATGTCACGAATTATCTCATATAGTGGATTGTCGATATTTCAAGTGGTTTAGAAATCTCTGAATGAAGTGTATGTGGTCAGCATTTTGAATATTTTTTTGTTCGCTTTATTTTATGTTTCATTAAAAATTATATACAGTGACAACTGTCTAATGCGGAATAGCATGTATATGTTGTAAATTATAATAATATAATATAATATAATATTTAACACGTACCTACCTCCTACTACAAAATCACAATGATTTAAGGCATCGTCATATATTATCATATTAAAATTAAACTTTTTTATTGCTGAAATATATAAGATAAGCAGAAAATAATGTATTAGAATTYACCACATTTATTTATATAATATATACTTCCTGTAAATAATGTAGTAGGCTGTACGTATATTACTATTATTATTTCATACTATTTATATTCTAACGTCATCGATAAAAAGTAAATTTTCAAATTTGAATACATATTTTATAATGATTGTGGAAAATTGAATTTTGAAAATTGTAAAATTTGAATTGCAAACAATTACTTTTGACGTACATAAATCAATTGATTGAAAAACAAATATTTTTATAGGTAATAAAAACTAAATCATAGCATATTATGATTATTTTGAGCATATTTATATTTGAACATTATAAATATTATTTAAGGGTAAACAGTTATTATATAGGTACCTAGCAAAACAATTATTTAAATAAAATATATACGTATAGCAAACAAACGATAAGCTAAAATGAATCGAGATAAATACACAATTTTTTTTGTAACTGTTATACATTATAAACTGTTGAATAAAATAAAAAAAAAATTAAAGAATATAATTTAAATTAATTCGATTAATTATTTTTATTTGAGATAAAATGTATAGTATTTTTTTATCTTAAAGATAATACAAAAATGATAAATTTTCTTTACAATTCCTCTCTACGTGTTTAATAATATTATAACTTTTATACATTTATACAGAGCTGTTCGAATTGATATCATGTCAAAAGTTTTCATAAAAATTAAGTGTATATTAAAAATAAAAGTAAATATTTGTGTTTGTTTCATAAAATTGTATTTTGTTTGTACTATAATAATTAAATGTCTCAATAACTGTTTTCAATTGTTTATAGTGTGCGGCTTAAACGTTGAGGGAATAAGATGGACTCTATTTATTAATCGTAATGCAAAAAAACCATTTACTTATGATTTATGATTATTTATGTGTGTAAATATCAATAATTATATCATCAGAGTTATTATAGGTATAATAAGTGATTTACCAWTGTAGCATTTATTTTACAAGTTATACAAATGGTTAAAATCTCAAGTTTAGAATACTTTAGAATTTTTATATAAAATGCAATATATTATAGTTTTTAATGATTGATTAAATATCTACAAATGTTTTAAGCAGCACGAGAAAATGCTGATCTTACGATTTAAATTTAACCCCAAAAACAATTACATGTAGAAAAGGTTTTGAAGTAAATACACTCTGTAGATAATTAAAAAATACTAAAATAGATATACAAATTTCTTATCTGAATTTAAACTGAACCATACATTTTTATTTGTGTTGATTAAATATTGGTGGGTACTTAGTTCGGAATCACATTTTGAATATAATTATATAGGTACACGAAGTTTCGTTTGAATGAAGTTTATATACTTGGAAATTATTGAACCAATTTGAACCACATTTTTTTGAGACTCTCTAAAAAAAAAAGGAACACTTCCTTTCATCAAAAAGGGATAAATAAAACCCCTATAAGTTACTATAAGAGTAGATCACAAAAGTAAATTTTGTTTTGAATCACGAACATCGAATAATTGTTTTTTTGAATATTTAGATTAGCTACAGAAATAACATTAAAAAAAAATGGTGGATATTAGCCGACTATTGTCATGCGTTGTTATAAGGGATTTTTTTTTAAACATAATAATATCATAGACAGAGTACCAGTTGTTAAAATAATTTTATAAAAAATAAAAATAAAAATTTAAATAGTGAACTAGTTATAGTGATATTTCGGACAAAGTTGTACAGCTAGAATTGAATAAAACATTTTCTTATCGACAATGATGTAAGGAACACTTCGAAAAACAAAATATTGTAATAACATCTTTCTGTTAAAAATTAAAGAAGAACAACCCAACAATGATTTAACTTGTATTACATCTTTTAGCTTATATAAAGTAAGATTATCGTCTTTGCTTAAAATGTTCATTACTATAAAATGTTAAAAACAATTTTTTTTTTATTATTGTTCGTATAAGAAAAATGATTGTTATTTTATATACTATTTTTAAAAATGCATATAAATTTAGTCTAAAGGTACTTACTGGACTTTTTACGATGATCGCTGGGCACTTCCATACCATTTTTACGGAGTACTTCTAAAAAGTCGTATTTCATTGTGCTAAGTTCAGACTTTATTTCGTTAATATCTTCTTCAGTTACGCCCAAGTTTTCCATTTCTCGATGCTTCATGGAAATATATCGCCAGACAAGGGCTCGCATTACAGTGGCAAATTCACTCTCCCTTTGATTTTGATTTATGAAATTATGATCTTTGTCATTCTGCAAATTAAGCAAATAGGTTGATTTTGATTTTTCTAGTTGAAATTAATWTATTAATTGATCCAAAAAAAAATGTTTGATCAGAATTTCGAATATATTTTTTAATTATAACGAACTATTTACTATTAATTATTTGATAATTTTATTAATTGTCTAGTCAACAGTAGTAGGTATCTCAAATATATATATAAAAAACTTGAAATTAGTCAAATTTTTAAAGAAAAAAAATACGCCGTGAAATTAAAATGTTCTCGCAAATCTTACAGCCTACAACTCCAAAATATGTTAAGATAACTTGAGAGGCTAAAGTACGAAAAGTTATAAAACTAATATTGGTGCGGTTTTCTTATCTAGTTAAGAACCATTTACAAAACATTGGTGCTTTATCATCAATTGTTTTGATGGCTGCGTTTTTGTTTAGGGTCAAACTACAGAGACAAAGGGTGGAAAATTTGAAATCTTGTGAAGTGTGATAATTGGGAACGCTTAAATTTTGTTAAAATTTGATTTCTTAGGTGATCCCCATTTAGGTGATCGGTATATAATAATAATGTACGTAGGCTGTTATTTGGAAGTCACACGAATTTTATTTCAATATGCATTTGATATAATAATATATTAACTCGTAACTTTAATGGTCAGAAATCATATAYATATGAACGGGGTTAAAAAAAAAAAATACTTAAAAATCAATATATTTCTTAAATCATATAATAATATAATTACCATTTCTATATAGTATAATATAATATTTATTATGAATTATGATTCATACATGATCAGACACACATTAAATAGCGTGCAAGGTTAGGTTATATTTACTTTATTCGATTGTAATAGCTAGCAGAATTAAATTATTTTAAATATTTTTTGCGTRCAATATGTATAATTGTTGCTTGAATGTTATGCAAAAACATAGATAATCACACCACACCGACTTTTAATCGACATAAACATAGTTCTATTATAATATTCAATAGCCAATATATGTACCTACACAATTATTTATAAGTATAATCAATCGATTAAAGTTCGTTAAAAAAAACGTTTTCAACTATTATAATAATTAATCGGTATCTAAAACAGGTACCTATACACTGCAATATAGTCGCTTTAATCGGTTAGGATTTAAGTTAATATTTCAAAAAAATATTTATTTTACTTCTTTAAACATATAGGTAGTRACTATCGTCTGCTGCCTTACAGTTAGCCTTTACTGAATGAGAGAAAACGGTTTTCGCGATATCCACGTAAAAAAATAAATATAATTATTTTATTATATATTTTCATCGATACAGATTCATTGTTGTAGTATCAATAACGAAAMCAAATATTATTATACCCGACGCCACGAATCAGTTTTCTTAACTTTCCATATCAAAGAATAAATCTTTTTGAAGTGTTTCAGCGTCGGATACACGTTGTAAGGTGACGGAAGTGTCGGTGTTTCTTCAAAACACCTCAGCCACAGTTTTGATCTGGAAAATTTCCATTCCACGTCCGATTGACCCTGCAGCAGTTTTTCAAGTATATAATTTATAAGTTTCATAGTTATAAAAAAAAAAATAAAATATGTTTACCTCAATGACAGAGTAAGAATTGGACATCATAGCGATGAGCAGGTTCAACATAATTGTGACGTTAATCACTGAATAAGTAGCGAACATAAAAAGTGCCCAGAACCTCGTGTAAGGTTTCATTCCTGGTAGATCAAAGGTTTCGAGATCGACCTCACCAAAACCCGTCCAAAACAGAGTATGTATTGATTCGAACACACTGTAAAAATTACAATTTTATATGAAATCTACACATTGTTAATTTATGAGTTTAGAGTCAAAACTTTTGACAAAGCATGTAGGTACTAGGTAGCTACRTTATCTCATTACATTTATTATCAAACATTATAATATTAAATATTGTTAACGTATTATAATAAGTAACGTATTTTAAGTTTCTAGTCTATAAACATAAATTATTTTGTTTTATATTTACATTAGAATACATTTTTTAAATGCTTGAATAAATTTTTAAAAATATTTCAAATTTCTGCTTTTACTAACTTTTTCCTAACCGGCTATATTAAATTCAGACGCTTATAGATTTCTTAACAAGTAATAACACTGTACGTAAATCATAATCGTTCAGAAAAWTTGTACAGTACCTATATGACGTTAGTAAAATAATTATTTTTCAATAATCATGATATTAGTACACACATTARGAGTAAGGTACTAAGGTTACGTATTCACCTTAATCTGTCGCGATATATGTCAATATGTCTCATCGGGACCATGAGTGAATCCGAACCCTAATAAAATTTGGGATATATAACTTTGTAGCGCAATTTTGTAAAAGAATAAAAGATACTTTAAAAAATATTCAAGTGCAGATACAGATACTTATTTTCAAAAGTATTTTATATATATTATACGTATTTGAATGCTTGGAGAAAAAAGTAATCAAGTACAAATGCAAATAACTTTGAAAAATATTTATATATACTTTCAAAATTCTTATTTTTTCTTATACGAAAATGCGTTYTACCTTGATATAATGACCTTATTATATAATCATTAGTAAACTGAATTCATTTTTGATTTAAGCACATAAAGTAAGACGAAAAAAGTATTTAGAAATATTTTTTAATTTTAAAGATACTTTCAAAATGTATTCAAATACTGAGTCCAARTACTTTTTTTATATGTATTTAGAACACGTATTTAATTATTTTTTCACGTATGGTGCTATGTCCGGGATTATGTCTGAAGGCATAGGTAGTTCGGACACCTATTTTCCATTTGGCAGAATCTCTAATTGAGCACCTATAAATTTTTACCATGTCCGGTTGAGAACTTTAAAAGTATTTKATTTACTCAGTTATTTTACAAAACTGGAGTTGATACTATAAATTTAACAYAATAATCAACTTTAGTTATGTTCAATATTATACAGCGCAATTAATTCATGAAAAAACCAAGTGAAATTGGTATTAATTTTGTCATGRCGATGGATGACTTGCTTGTTAAAAATAAGAGGAATTAAAATATAAAACTCCAGTTCAAACCGTATAACATAAGTTATCTGTTTGTAATCGTAACCTGTAAAAATCGTTTTGATTACACACTCGTGGATTTGTGATGAATAATCATAGTTATTATAGAATTGTTCACGAATTATTTTTTATTTGTTTTGGCATACCATCATAAACCCCTAAAAAGTTGTAAGTGTATACGTTATATACACAGCTCATGAGAAAATTATTAATGTTGCACATCGTAAATACTACCACACAACATATTTTTGTTATTTATCTCATGAAATTAAATCCTATGACAATTTTATTTATTTTTCTCGACTGAGTACATCAAATACCTAGAATATAATATACAGATATATATATATATATTGCTTGTATTTTTTTTAACGTATTTCAAATTATGATTTATTTATTTTTTTGACCTCATAGATAAATATTATTGTTGGTGAATTTAATTTTAAAATAGATTCTATAAATATAATAACAGCTACTGTCAAGTTCACTCAATCATAATATGTATTTATGTATATTTAAGTTATCTGAGTGGATATATACACTATAATAAATTAAAGTCCCATCACATTTACTAAAGGAAAATTCTATCGTGCTCTTCAGCAATAATATTTCTGTGGTACCTTAAGACAACATTTTGTTTGGGAGTATTACATTTTTAACAATGTTAAAAATAGACTCTCGACATGATATAATTACTATAAATTCAGAGAGAAAAGGGAATATTTTGTTTGACAATTATTAACATAATTACTACGTAGTTATTGTTTTTAATGTATAGATAATAATTAGTAATTAATAAGGTCATTTATCATAATATTCTTGCATATAAACTGCTATAACCTGCAGCCGTCTTGGTAAACGTAAACATAACGTTCGACCTTGTTCTAAAAAAAGGCGTAATTTTATATCAAACTAATTGCGTTATTAAAATGAAACGGTTCTAATCAACAATTATCAAAGCGAAATTGGGGTTGACGTTATATCTGGCATCATATTGATTATCGGCGTAGTAGCTATGTATGAATAATGCCTGAAATCGACGATTAATCATTTTTTGAAAGTTTGCTAAATAGTTCGATGTGCAATTATCAATTATCATTGATTACAATATGARTAGATAATTGCAATATAAAGAATGGAYGTGGGTAAACTCAACTGTTTTTATATAATAACCGATTTGACAAGAGTCCGTTTAATATACCATAAACGTGTATATATTACTTTATTATAGTTAAAACCTTTAACTTGAATTTTGAACTGATCACAGGCAATATCAAAATCAAAAAACGCTCAACATCTCTAAAATTATAGTTTACCGCTAAAAGCCATTTATTAGTTGAATCATATAAACAGTTTGAGAAATCATTTGGGCCGTATCAAAACTTATAAGTATTAACTATCAACTCCGTAATGTTTCAATAATCAAAAGTGATTATACGGAAAAATCTATAACAGTACCTACTATGGAAATAAATATTAGTAAGTCGCGTTGTTGAACATCATATGACCTAATGTATTTTATCTTTTATCATTATTATTATTATTATTTTTTTTTTTTGTTAAATTTTACGATTTATAAACCTACATTTTATTTTAAACACAAATATTTTTACTTTTAATGTTGACGTTATTTTGATTTTTGATTATATATATTATAAACTTATCTGAAAAAACCAATACCACATATTCTTGTTTCTATATTATTATATTATTGGTCAATAGGCTAATAATTATTGCTTTACAATTTTATTTGTTCTATTAATTGTATTGTGCACTTTATAATTGTGTTTGGTTATATTAATAGTAAAAATCACCATTAAATCATGTTTAAATTTATGTTCTAGAATATTCAATTTTATTTTGTGGAGATATACCTATTACCTATAATCCACCCTAATGAATTTTCGTCTGACACCAGTAAACTGTATTTAATATGTATTTTCTATTTAATTACTCACTTTCCAAAATTCTTCCATTTCGAGCACGACTCGCCTGATCCGGCTTCTATTAAACTGTAACATTTTTTCCGTTCCAGATCAGCAAAATACCACATTAACTGATTGAGTCCACACGCGAATGAAAATAACACCAAGCTGTAAATACTGAAGAACTTGAGTATATCGATCAGGATGCGTTTCAACGACAGTTGTAACGGTCCTAAATGTGAACTTATTGAACACATATGGATCAGCTTTAAAGCGCTGTAAACAAAACATAATACGAATGTTAGATAAGTCAATTTCGAATGAAAATATATTTGTCTTAAGATGAAAATTCGGTTTTGCTAAATAATTTTTAAGTCACTAGTAAACATACAGTAATATTAACAATTTCGAAGAAGTTCGAATGCGGAATGGTCGAGAGATTAACACCACACGCACCTAATATACCATATACATATATAGGAGAAACCCTACGATTAGACCTCTAATCAAATATCAACATATCATCAACTTCTTGTAATAGAAAACATATTTTTACAACTAAATATTATAAGCACTAATTTAAATCTAAAATAACATGTATGTAATTATTAGGTACGATGTGAATTCATTAGAACTAGGTAATGGCCATACCGACTAGATGCGAAATCGTACGTTTATTTAATTAATCCAAATGCGTTATTGTGAGAGAATGAAAAACTAATCGTATTTGTTGACGGCAATATTAATAAGATTTCGTGTTAAATATTGTCTACGGATTCACGGAGAAATCTGTGGCGCTGAAAAACAAATGAAAATTATTCTCACCTCAGTATGTTGGCGGCGGCGAACAGGGCGTCGGCCAGGAGTTGCGGGTCGAAGGTTTCCCATTTCTCCCTTGGAATAAACGCCGAAGACGGATCGTCCAATATTTGTGAGTTTTCGGTCACGTAAGCGTAAACTCGAAGAGCTATCACCGTCATGTATATCTTGTTCCTGGCAAATTCCACGTAATTCCACGCATTGTGCGCCAGATATCTCTTCAGGCCTTCCCTGCGCACGTCCAGTATCTCTTGCCAGATGTATCCTGTAGCAGCAATTATATGTGTATGAAACCCCATCGCCCAAGTCATCGACTATCCATTACAAAAACAACGACAAACAGAATCGTCGGGATGACAATATTATCGTTAATATTATTGTTTCCTATTTTACAGGTTGACTCACCACCAAACATGCTCACCACTTTTTTCTTTAATAATGCAGTCAAAATCTCATTTTTGGAATCATTAAATATAYTGGAAGACCATATTTTTAAATTCTTGATATTTTTTGTACCACTTAAGGAATGTCCTGTGGCGATATACCCTTTTGTAGTTTTGTTTTTCAAATGAGACCCCCCCCCACATATTTACTGTAAATCATTTAGCCGATAATATTTTTGAAAATTTGTATGTATTGAAATCAAAATTCTTATGAATAGCTTATAGGTTATTTAACTTTGTTTTCTAAGGATAAAAGGTCCATGGATTTAGGCTTATAAAATAAGTGGTCTATGATGATGTATTTGAAAATATTAGTCATTAATATTAATCTAYCAACAAAAATAATTTATAAAAAGACATAAGTATCATAAATACTAATTATTGCAATAGTACTTGTATTTTGTTTTTTTTGTAAAACGATTTTTAAGGACTATTATCCTTAGTACAAACAATAATAATTATTAATAATTAAGAAACTACTCATTCGAATTTTTAATAAGGTGCATCAAAATTTAAAAAAAAATTAAATTATCTACTAAATAATTTACAGTAAAAAAGAAGGTTCTCATTTAAAAAACGGAAGTTTGTATCACCACAAGACACTTCTTGAGGAGTAATACAAAAAATCTCAAAAATTTGAAAATATAATTATCTTTGAGTATATTTGAAAATTCCAAAAATTAGAATTTGAATAAATTCATTATTAAAAGAAAAAACGAGTGTGAGCATGCTCGGTTAATCGCCCTGTATATGTATAATCGCGGACCAAGTAATATACAAAAACTATCATATTGTAAGTTGCTGACGTCTATACCAGGGTTGGCCAACTTGAATATGTCTCCATGAGCCACATATTATGGATAAATACAATGATATATATCAAGAACCAAAATCGGGCAAAATGTTTATAAATACATTTTATAATTTTTTCGTTAATAAGTAAATATTGGTTTTTTTCTAATAATAAGACGCGAGCAAYTAGTCGCCCACCCCTGGTCTACACAACACTCATGAAGTGTCAATGTGTCATTCGAATATTATTGTGAACAAGAATATTATAATATTATCTTTTGCCACTTTTTCAGAACTCAGTATAGGACATCCAAGTAGGTACTTCAATCGTATTGAATTGATGAGGTTTGGTTACAATTATCATTTCTGTCTTGCTGAAAAGCTTCATTGGCTGCAAGCCTCAGCAGTTACATAACAATATGATATATTAGGTAATGAATGAAAAACTTTAAAATATTTAAAAATATAAAATACTTTTAACTTTTATCAAGTTTCTTGGAAAAAAATTAGATAAATGGCCCGAATAAATTGTCGTCTGTATTGTCAAACAAACGATAATATAAAGTACCTACTTCAATTGTTTTCACGAGTAGATATGTCCATCCCACCAATATAATATATTATAGCATCGACTCCACATGCAGTGCAGGTCAAAATCGGTGGAATCGATATAATAGTTTGTTTTAGATAATATGTCTGCAGTATAAAACTATCGGATCGATTTCCACACAAAAATGTCTGATGGAATTGACGCATATACGATTTCAAGTCCGCGATCATTTTGTTTAAATCAAAAGCATTGTTCGCAAATCATTTTGTTTTGTCTCAAAAATAATTTCTTAGGAGGGGAGGGAGAAAGAATGCATCCCACCATTATATAGTCAGTATTACCTATGTCCTATACAATTCACGTATGTTTACGGTTCRCCCGTCTTACCGATGACAAAATGTAAGATCAAGAGCTCAATGTACGACGGCCCGTTGCCGCGTTGACGGAGTTGTCGCAATTGCAGACTTTTGTTCATAGACTCGGACCCGAAGAGCTCTATAAATTGCGTTTCGGCCCTCTGCGACACCAGTACCAATAGACCTATGGACAAAAAATTCAATATGTAGATATATTTGTATTTTGTTTTTATTTTTTTTTTTGCTAAGAGAATACTAAATAAAATTTAATGTAAATTGAAAATTTACAAATTATTTACTTAAAATACTCTACTGACAAACCGCCTCCGCAGCACAGAATCGTTTTTCGTATGCGATGATATTATATCGTTGAATTCAAATTTTATACYACCCTTATTACCTTGACCCACTTGTAACCTATAACTGTACAGCAGAGCGACATTCACCTACCAGCTTTTTCGAAATGCGTTCACGTTTTTTCTTCCTGGTTATTAAACACCATCATTGAATAGTTATTTAGTACTAGTGGAGAAAAAATTTTAAAAACTATAATACACATTATAAATGTATATTGCAATTTCTGATCATATAATAATACTTACCTATAGGTCCATGTCCCCAGCACCCCTCTTTTCGAATTTCGGGTCCAAACCCGGGGCGATCGTTTGTGCTTCGTTAGTGCTCGTTTGTGCACTTTATCCCGTCGTTAGTGCTTTATCCCTTCCAAAGTTATCCGCATTTCTTACAGGGGGGTGCTGGGGACATGCTGCACCCCTCATTTTGAATTTCGGGTCCAAACAAATTTTATTCGTTTGTGCTTCGTTAGTGCTCGTTAGTGCATTTTACCCCGTMGTTRGTGCTTTATCCCTTCCAAAGTTATACGTATTTTTTACAGGGGGGTACTGGGGATGTACTAATCCGAGTCCAACCCCCAGACCTTTGTCTGAATCTCTTCAATACACTGAGGTAAAAATGATCCCTGGATGATTTTCAGTTAAAACTTGATTTTTGAATTAAATACTTAAATCCTAGTTTTATGTTTTTGCAATTATCACGTAAAAAAAATGTTTTATTACAATTTTAGATTTATGCTAATTTCCGTCAATCTTCTTATAGGATCATACC